GTAGGATCGATATTTGGGGCTTAAATAGAAAGTCCATTATTACTTGATAACGATACGTATACTTGCGTAGAATCCGAATATTAATTGATTATATTTAATTAAATTTTACACAATCTATCGCAATAAAAAGTTGGATCATCAGAACAAACACAAAAATTTGAATCTCTGGTTGTGGGTTGGTTTCGTAGGGTCCTCTTAACGGATAGGCTTCCAAGGCATTTTTTCGGTCTGACTTCGGACTTACATCTTGGAGTTATCCATGCAAAGTTCACTTCATGAAAGTCTTCCACACACATTTTCTCATTTTCATCATCATAATGTATTGCTGCCTTTCGATACCTATCTTCTCTAGATCATACAATTCAGAAGAGAGTTTACTTGGAGAAGAGATTATACAACAATAGACAAAACGACGACTCCTCACCAAACTGATGAAAAGATTAGCAGGCTGAAAGGGTGCCTGACACGTTCTAACAAGAGTGCTAGAAAGATGGTATAGAGTACTACTTTACTATTTGGGAGACAACATAGTATAATGGGATGATAGAAAAGATCATGAATCATACTTTGGTGGAGATAGTTAGGTGCATGTCATTAAATGCTAGGTTGGATATAATATATTGGGTTTATGTCATAGACTATTCTCGTCACTTGATGAAGCATTTACTTTCTACAACTGTTAGGAAGAAGACCCCAAAGCAGATGTGGTTGGGGCATACTACTAGAGATTATGAGCACATAAAAGTGTTTGAGTGACTAGCTTACTATCATGTACAAAATAATAAAATTGAACCATGAGCAAATAAGATGATCTTCATTGGCTTCAAGCATGGAGTCAAGGGATTCAAAATTTATGATCAGATAAAGAGGAAGATTATAATTACTAGAGATGTTACATTTGATGAGACAAATTGTTAAAGCCTCAGGACTCAAAGCAGTTACAAAGTTCTAATGAGACCACAATTATTCAACAGACGTTGGAGTTAGATGCAAGTTTATTTATTTCATAGATTACATCTACTCCTACTCATGTACTTGATCAAGTTGTAGTTCAAAAGGTATTTATTAACAATACTTAGAAAGATGTGGAATAACATATTGAGGTTGAGGCAGTTAACTAGAAATCTATTGTTAGGAGCAGGGCTACGCGTCAAAATATCCAAAAACCAGCTTGACAGAGAGATCATATTACATTCATACTTTCAACCATAGATGCTAAAATTTCTTGTCACTACAAGAAAGCTATCAAGAGCTTAGATAGGGATTTTTGGAGAGAGGCAACAGATGAAGAGATAACTTCTCTTCAAAAGAGTTCTACGTAAATTTTGGTGAAGCTTCATCAGAAAAGAAAAGTCATTAGATACAAATGAGTTTATGTAAGAAAGAAGTAATCACATGAAGCTTATGTGCATTACAAGGTAATGTTAGTGGCAAAAAACTTTGCACAATAAGAATAGATTGTATATGATGAAGTGTTCTCCCTAATGATCAAGCATCCATCTATATGTGTTCTCTTAGCGCTTTTAGCATAATAAGGTCTAATTTTGGAGCAATTTGATGTGAAGACTATGTTTCTAAGCTGGGAATTAAAATGATATTTATATATTATAGTCGTCAGATATGGAGCCCCAAAATGCTTAGTTTGCAGACTGGATAAGTCTTTATACGGGGGATGAAGTAGTCACCAAGTTATTGCTATAAGCAGTTTGATTAACTCATGATGGGACAAGATACATAAGGAGCCAATATGATCATTATGCATATTTAAGAAAATTAGTCAATGGAGAGTTCATCCACTTGCTTCTATATATTGATGACATGCTTATTGCATATATTAATAAAACTGAGGTTAACAGGATGAAGAAGCAAGTGTCAAAACATTCTGAGATGAAGGAGTTGTGTGAAGCTCATAAAATTCATGGCATGAAGATTCTTAGGGACAAGACAGTTGAAAATGTTTGGCTCTCACAAAGAGCATATGCTCTAAAAGTGCTGAAAGAATTTGGGTGATGATTCGAGCAAACTGGCGAGTCTACCTATTGCACCTCACTTTTAATTGAGTTAAGATTATTATCCTAAAGATGATAAAAAAAAGAAAAGATAAGTGGTTGGCTCCTTAAGCTAGTATAATGGACTAACTAATGTATGTCATGTATTGTTCTGGACTAGATATTGCACAGTCCACTGGTGTTGTGAGTAGGTTCATGCATGATCCAAGACAAAGTCATTGGAAGATTATGAGATATCTGAAGGTTACAGTTAATTTCAGCTTAGTTTTTCAGATGCAATTGTTGATTTTCATGTAAGTTATACTAATTCGACCATGCAAGTGATATGAATAAACAAAGGTCTATGTGTAAGTTATACTAATTCGACCATGCAAGTGATATGGATAAACAAAGGTCTAGATTGACTATTGATTCACATTGGTAGGAGGTCCAATTGTTTGGAGATTAGCTCTTCAGTCTATTATTATTTTCTCTACTACGGAGACTGAATGCATGCCAATCACATATTTGATGAAGAAAGTGATATGGATGCAAGTCCTACTAGATGACTTGGGAGTTGATCAAGATTCTCTAACGGTTTCTGTGATAGTGAGAATGTGATATTCTTGGCTACAAATTTATTCATCATGCCAATACCAAGCACATTGATGTGAGGCACCACTTTGTTCACGACTTGATTGATGATGATAATGTTATGTTAAATAAGATATATATATACAAAAGAGAATCCAACGAACATGCTCAAAAAGGTACCGTCAGTCAATAAGTTTATCTACTATAAGAGTTTGACAAACTTATGAGCTTATGATTGATTGCTCATTCAAGTATTTTTTTAAGAAAATATACCATGCTTGATCTCTTTGGGAGGGAGGAACATAGACAACCATTTTGATATAATCGTTTTGGTGTTGGAGCTCATTGTGATCTTCTCCTACTTATTTGAAAGTGAGAGAAGGGGTGAAGTTATTTGTAAAAGAAGGTAATGTCATTTTTTAATTTTTATTAGTATGTTATATTCCTCTTTTATTTATATGAGAGATTATGATTGATTTTCTATGTGGAATTGTAACCCTATTTCAACCGTCTTTTCTTTCTCCCAACTTATTGATACTGAAATAACCCATTATTATGGATGTAGGTAGATTTGCGTCGTACCACATATATCACATCTTATTTGATTGTTTATTTGTTGTGTAATTTTAATTTTTCACATTTTATTTGCAACAATTTGATCATCTAAATGCTTTTCAGAAGTTTTTCATCATCCATTTAAGTGCATTTTTACGCAAATTCAAACTCATCCATACATTCTTAATATTAGTAAAATGGATAAAATTTTATTTTCCAAGCACTAAAAAAATTTTAAAAAAACTCAACCATCCTCAGATTTTGATTGATTTTTTTCCTTGTAAAAGAAGGTAAACATGTCATTTTCTATTTTTTATTAGTGTCATAATCCTCTTTTATTTATATGAGAGATTATGACTGATTTTTTATGTGAAATTGTAACCTTATTTCAACCGTCTTCTCTTTCTCCCAGCTTATTGATAATGAAATAATAAAATGAGTTAAAATTTTCTTTTACAAGCATGCAAAAAAAAAAAAAAAAAAAAATCAAAATCAACCATCCTCATATTAATTTGTGAAGCGGTTGATATTTTATTTTATTTTTCTTAAGATGAAATCTCAGTATCATATCAACTACATTAAGTGATTTGATCAGAAATCTTCTAAAATAACCTAACAACTAGCCTTAGAGGGAGATTTTAGAGTGAATAATTTAATTCCAACTACAAGAAGATAACCCCAATCGAGATGCTAACAATCTAATATAGTTAGGTGCTTATAAACTAAATGGTAAATACATATTCGTCAATTATCAACCGTCGCTTAAGCATCCAATGGACATGATTTTACTTTGATGTGAAAGTAGATGATGGATTTTAGACCACAAAATCTTAACTAGTAAGTGGTGGAGTGAGGAGCATTGGTGGTGGCAGAAGTCTAGAGATACTCAACATTATTGAGAAAAGATATGTGCTTTGTACTTGGTACATAAAGTAGAAGTATGATTGATGATTCCAACTTTGTCAGAATCAATCATGATGATAATATTTGCGATAATGCAAGTAACATAAAACATGGAAGAAGTTGAGATAAATTAAAAAAAGGTAAACATGGAAAATAAATTAAAATAAGAATTTTAATTATATCCATTTATTTGTGTTAATTTTAATGAACAATGGCCAATGGACATCTCTTTCATATCATTTTATCTGCAGGCTGGTTATAATAAAGTTGCTGAAAGTAAGATTTGTTGATATATTAATTGTTGAATTCTTGATTATTCATGAACCGTGTCCAAGTAATGGAGTATAAGTAAGGAGAGAGATGAATGAGCAATAAAGAATAGTAATCTGTGTGTATCTATTCACAAAATAATTTTTCTGTCTATAGAAGAAGAGATACAATACGA